GGTTCCGCGATCCAGCCCTCCGCCTTACCCCGGCGCCGGGGGTGGGTTTCTGCTCGCAGAAGTTGCGGGGGAGAGGAGGGACAGTTTCGCTCCTCGCCTGCTCGTGCGTAAGAGCAGCTGAGCTCCCTGTGCTGCCTTGGGATCGAACTGGTTGCTGCACACTGTGTTGGTCGGTTGACGGCGTTTCTTGATCCTAAGAGAAGCCCTGCGTGCCTCTGATCTGCGGTTGACGTTCAGTTGATATCGCACGATCTAACTTGTTTTTTTCTGCCCTGAGCTCGGTGCGAGGAGGGAGAGTTAAAAACATTGCAACGCTTCCACCGAGGCGCGAGTGCTAGGAGTGTTCTGTCAGTAAGCAGCACATCTGAACTTGCATGTCTGAAGCTGGTAACTGCCTTTAAAGATAATATCTTAAAGCTCATATCTGTCTGGGTTCCTGAGCTAGCAGTAGATTGGCTTAAACGCCGAGTGCCCTAGCATGGTTTTTTTGTAGTCAGAAGTGCAGGTGCTCATCACGTGCAGTAACAAAACTTAGCCAGTTTTGTCAGCCTTGTGCTGTATTTTCGAATTTGCGTTGCCTGTATCATTTGAAACAGCCTTTCTGGGGCAGTTTCACATGTTCTCTAGCAGCAGCACCCCCAGACTGCTTAGCGTAAGGCTCTGGAATGGTCACCACACACCTCCAGGCTGATAATCTATGAGAAAGTCTGAGGCTAAGAGCCCATCTGGTAGTCCACTGCCTGCAGGATTTGGGAGCTATTGCCAGAGGGTTCTGTTGGCTTCCTCTTACCTCAGGAACGGTGGAAGTTGATGGTTGAAGTGCCATCTGTAGCGAGCAGTCAGATTCCCTTTAGTGAGAGAGCAGCCACGCCGCCTCTTTTACGAAAGCAGCCAGACTGGCAGAGAGCACAGCCGGCAAACACGGGTCTGTTTGCTCCTGCCTGGCTGGAGCCTGCCCGCAGCCTCCCCGTCATTCCCTCGGCCCTCCGTGGGTGGAGCAGCTCTCGCTAGCACTGCTCCCCTGGCTTCGGGCGGGATCTGCCAGCTCTCCTGGACTTGCACAGCAGCACACTGCTGGAATCAGGAGTTCTCATCTCCCCGGCGTTCCGGGCTAATAGTGGGGAGAAAATGTTGATCGGTTTGTCTTAATTCCTTCAAGATGATTTTTTTTTCTATTTCCTTCAGTAAATACTTCGAAGTGTAGTCCCTTCCGTTAGTTGAAAATGCTGAAACGGAGCCAAATGTGCTAACTCTAAAGGCGGGGGAAACCCCCAGAACTCTTTATCATGAGGTCTTGTGAAACAGCTGTGAAATTGATTCCACAAAGATGTGTTGAAGCACTACATCTTCTAAGTGTGTACATGTAATTTTTATTAGGTCGTAGTCTGAGGTTTGGGTATAGTTTCCCTTTGTTCTGCTTTCGTTACTTTTATTATTTGATGCACAGTTTAAAAATGCAACACAGTGAGTAAACCAGAGAGAATAATTCTTCCTTCATTGTGAAGTGCTGTCATGCATAATGCATACAGAGCCTGTTTATTGCAAGCTTTTGATATTCAGTAGTAATCTAGTGACCTGTGTGAGAATATCAAAGCAATATTTCAAAGCTGAGGTGCTTTTTAAATTTGCTCTGAGACTCTTGCTTTGAAAAAAAAGAGCTACTGCAAATAGTAACACAACTCTTATTGATTTTTTTTTTTTTCTTTCTTTCTCTCTTTCCCCCAGGTAAGTTTAATCATTAAATACATATCACAGTTCTGAGCTGGTTTATACATGTGAGTACCAGTGGTCCCTCTGAAATCACTGGAGCTGCTCCAGTTTGTAAGTCTGTGTGCTGACAGCATTGGAGATCGTGGTTCACATGTCTTCTCCCATATCTGCTTTTATTAGATGGGTGTAGCAAAGCATTTTGAATTATTAATGTTCCTGGGACTTTGGGGAGCAATTACTATTAAGAAAACTGTTAAACTCAGTTACAATTTCACACAAACAAGGAAAAAATACCATAAAATATTCAAAGGCTTCATAACTTGCAGCTAGGCTAGTTTAATTAACCTCTTTCTTCTGTTTCCTGGTGTGATTTAAATACCGATGTTAGAATTTTTGGTGTTCTCAAGAACTGATGAATGGTTCTTCATTTCTGATAAAATCTCAGCATAGGATTTAGGTCTTTCTTGAAAGAGTGGTCAGTCAGTCCTCCCAGGTGGGCGAGAGATGGGGAAATCCAGCAGTGAGAACATAATTCTGTGAGGGGGTGATTTTTCCTCACTTGCATTGAATGTTCCTGTTAGTGGCGTTAGTCACGGTGATTTGTAATACAGGTCATTCATTGCTGCAGATTCTCCATTTTCAATTCTGTTGTATATACACTTGAACACTGAGTAATAATCTTCTTTAATAGGTGGGATTGTGTGTGCACCTCCACCACTGGAGAGGAAAAGGGAGAGAATTTAGAAGAAACGATCTAAACCTTTGGGCATTTGGCTCCACCTTCAGAGGGAAGAAGGAACAAATGACAAAGCTTTCTTGACTAAACTGCCCTGCCCTGCCTGCCTGCTTTCAAAAGTGTAGCAGTAGACTTTTTTTCCCTGTGTCCTTAACGAACTGTTCAGTTTCTTGATACCTGTGTGATCAGCAGCCAAAATATGAATGTCAGTGGGACAACCTGTGGTTAATGTTATGGCTGTACTCTGCAGAAACAAGGCCTTCATGCATTATTTCTGCATGTGATGTTTTAGGGGAAGTGTCCAAATAAGTGCCAACCCCAAATTTTATTTTATTTTTTTAAATTTATGATGGGTTGTGGTGTCTGAATGGATGTTGGAAAGGTTAAGTCTGTGTAGAGGAGTAGAATTATAATAATGCTTTTTTCCATCTTTTGTTGCTCCCTTAAAGTATGGAACTCTTCTTCTGGTTTCATGGGAGACAGTTTTTGTTTTCTCAAGTCACATGTTGTAATTATTTTTCCTTTGTTCTTTTGTGTATTAAGAAATAATTCTGAACGTGCCAATTTTCATTTTTCTTTATAGGTTCTGCCCAGCTGACACTTATTGGGTCAGACGTTGAAGTAACTGAGTGTAATAGTACTGTCATTTTACCTTGTTCTGTGACTAATCTAATGGAGAACAATGAAGATGTCATGTTTGTTATATGGAAAAAGCACAGAAAGAGAATATTTTCTTTTGATGGAGTAATAAAGGATGTTTACAGAGATGCAGCATTTTCATCAGCAAACTTGCTGTCTCAGGCGGATTTAGCCAAGGGCACGGCCTCTCTGGTGCTGAGCGGTGCACAAGCAACTACTGGAAATTATACCTGTCAAGTCACAGAGTCAAACAGAGAAGGAGGAGTAAGCATTGAAGTTATAAACAAGACGGGTGAGTTGCCTACCATGATTTTCGAATCTGTTGAGATGCAGCATTTTCATCAGCAAACTTGCTGTCTCAGGCGGATTTAGCCAAGGGCACGGCCTCTCTGGTGCTGAGCGGTGCACAAGCAACTACTGGAAATTATACCTGTCAAGTCACAGAGTCAAACAGAGAAGGAGGAGTAAGCATTGAAGTTATAAACAAGACGGGTGAGTTGCCTACCATGATTTTCGAATCTGTTGGGAGGGAAACAGAATCATATGGAAAGAGTAATGACCATGGCAATGTATTTCTTTAAACTGAAAGCACAAAACGTGTAGCACCCAGGCCTTCTAACTTGAACACTGGTACGAGCTGTTTTGGTTTAGATTACGAGGGGAGTGCTTCTGTGGGAAAGATCTCGACATGTCTTCATTCTGTAATAACATCTGAAAATGAATTGTCTAATGTAGGAAAATCTGTGCTTTCCCACGTCTTTTAGATGGTATAGTTGGTGATGTATTCATCACCCTGATGTGATTGCGTTGCATACTGAAACATATTCCTAATGTCTTCGTAATACTGAGATGTGTACGTCCATCACAGTGGCTGCAGAGATCTTGGCTTTGAAGAATTACTTCCTGCAGTCTGTAGTGATGCTGGAAAATTACAGGTAGAACTAACAGAAATTCTGTATGAGAGTTCTGAAACTTGATCTGAAGGTATGCAGTTTTCCAGTGAGGCTGAAGATGCTACTCCTAGATGCTAACTTGTTACGGTTTTCCAGCATTAAATGTCATCCTCAGAAGATGATGTTGAAATGAATGAAATTCACTAAATGGATTTCTCATTCAGGGAGATGTTTTGCCTTACCTTGTCAATCCCAGCCCGTGTGCTCCTGTGCCTCAGCTGTTCAATAATGGGTTCTGCTGTACTCATTGTCTGTCTAGTGTTCTGCAGAAGTGACAGTTTCACGGGACTTTGTTTATTGTGTGCATTGTTCACCTGTTCTGCACAGGAGACTTGCTTCTTGTTTCTGGAGAGCTTCTCAGAGGCACTGGATGTGTTGCATGTGTGTAGCACATGGAGTTTTACCCATGCGCTCTAGAATGATCCTAGCATGTTTTTGCTATCAGGTTTTGTCTTTCACATTAAAATATTCGTGCAGCTCAAGTAGATGTTGGTTGTGTCTTGCCGCAGCCATTTGTGGAATTCACAGTTGGGTCTAATTGAGGTAACCATATACACTGCAAAGCAAATGTGGTCCTGCAATGGATTGGGAGTGGCACAGTCACTAAAAGTAAAGATGCTACAGAATCATTCGTTTCTTAGAACACTGCAAAAATGGGGAACAGGAAACACAGTTTCCCTCATTCTCTTAAAGCTTCTTCCTTACTCAGTCATTTCTGACTGTTACAGAAAGCAAGGGTTGAGGGTGTACTGGAATTGAATCCCATTTGCAAGTTTTACTTGTGTTTAGAATTTTGCAATCAGTATAAAGACAACAAAACAGGAAACGGATGTAATTTTTCTAATTTCGTTTTCTAGTTGTCAGTTGCGACAAGGAAAATGTCTCAGCTCCAGAGAAGAAATGTGGTTACTGAAGAATTCATAGCTGTGAGGTCACGTTAGCTTTGAGAGCCTATGCTAGAAAATGTGGAACTTAATCTTATGTTTGAGGGTTTACCTGAAGATTGCTTGCACTTTCTTCAGTTCTTCTAACTTTTTCTTGCTTGTTCCTCCTCAGTCTTATAGAGAATCTCTTGAAGCTAATAGAAGAAAGTGTAGCAAGTGACTTTTGGAAAGTGTTAGTGAGTAGTGGAAATCCTTTATCAGTCATTTCTGAGCAATGGATTCATGCTGTCTCTACTGGCATGTTCCAGTCACGTAAAAGCAATTGAAAACCGGATGCTTTTACAAAGATAGTCTTACAAGAGCCAACGATTTTGCATCTTCCTTATAGAGAATTTCTGATTCACCTAGCAAGTGGGTAGCAGAGTGAGCAAGATTTCTGTGCTGGTGCCCTCATCTTTGGGCACCCTCTTGCCTGATCTAGAGAGTGACCATAAAGTTTCCTCTTTTTCTTTTATTTTCCTCTCTTCATCTTCTCTTTTCTCCCTTCTTTTTCTCTTGTCCTCTCTTCTTCCTTCTCTTCCTCTCCTGTTTCCTCTCCATTTTCACTCTTCACTGTTCTACTCCCCACCCCAGTTTGAACATCTCATACTAGTTTGGAACTGACTTCCTTATATTGGCGCTCAAAACATTACTTTTTTCCAGGAATTTACTGCTATGAAACACCAGAGTAAGAGAAATACATTACCAGGCAAATGTGTTCAGCTGTTCCTCGTATTTGCATGTTGCATGTCTGCACTGTCAGAGGCAGTTCTGCACTGTCAGTGCTTCTAGACTCTGAGACTGGACAGTTCTGTTTTGCATACTCAAGTTCAAGCAGACACCCAGGCTTTGTGGCTGCTTTCTTTCTGTTTCTGATACCTGATCGTGTCACCTGGAAATGCCCTAGAAGAAGTGACAGTGCTTCTCAGAGTCTCTGCTTGCATATACTAAAAGTTCATTATCTCTCAGTTCTCAATTGCATTGAACAGCATCACTGGGATCTGGCTTATCTAGGGAATGGCAACCGTGCGGTGAAATTACTCTTCAGTATTACTCTGTGCTGGTTTGAGCTGAAGTAGAGTTAACTTTCTTCACAGAGGCTAGTATGGGGCTATGTTTGGGTTTTGTGCAGAACACAGAGTTGATAATGCAGAGATGTTTTTGTTATTGCTGAGCAGAGTTTACACAGAGTCAAGGCCTTTGCTGCTTTCCGTACTGCCACACTGGCAAGGCAGTTGGGGATGCATGGGAGACTGGGAGGAGACACAGCTGGGACAGGTGACCCAAACTGACCAAAGGGATATTCCATACCCTTTGACATCATGCTCAGTATATAAGGTGGGAGGAAGAAGGAGGAAGGGGGGACATCTGGAGTGATGGTGTTTGTCTTCCCAAGGAACCGTTACGCGTGATGGGCCCTGCTCTCCTGGAGATGGCTAAACACCTCCTGTCTTTGGGAAGCAGTGAATTAATTCATTGTTTTGCTTTGCTTGTGTGTGCAGCTTTTGCTTTCTCTATTAAACTGTCTTTATCTCAACCCATGAGTTTTTGTAGCTTTTACCCTTCTGATTCACTCCCCCGTCCCGTTGGTGGGGGAGTGAGTGCGAGGCTGCATTGTGGTTCTTGGCTGTTGGCTGGGGTTAAACCACGACATACTCGCTTTTTAAAAAATGCAAACGAAGCAAAAAGGTTTCCTTTAAGCAGTTCATTTAATTAACCTTGTTATGGTGGTTAGGAAGGTGGTAAGATATTCCTCCATGTCTCTGTCTTCTGTATGTGATGTGTTTGTCTTGTATTTATGTTAAATCTACTTTCTTTGACCTCATGGAGGGAGGAGGGAAGGGAGGGGAAAGGGGGGAATTTAACTTAAAAGCTGTCCAAAAGGTCGGCATTGGAAAGTTGTGAGATATTGCTACTTAATTTCATATTTCTGGAGTACAAATAGAGCTTTTAAATAGGGACTGAAAGTGCAATGACTATGCATCATAGTGAAGATTAGAAATTTCTTTGGAAACAAATGTGCAGGCAGAAGAATGGTGGCAAGTATAATGTAAGGAATGGAAACTGTGGATTCACTGAGTGAGTCCAAATGAGGATATGGGCAGGGATGCCAGAATTAACTGTATTTTCTAGTTCAGTGGAGATATTTTCAGAATTTCATGTTGGAAGGTGGCTTACATGGCCTTACAGCATGACTGACCGAGCAGCCTGAGGCATCCAAAGTGCAGGGGGGGAAAATGGCTAAATGGATGACATTAGGAATAACTAAAATTAACAAAGCAGTGTTTCCTTCTCACTTAGGTTAGCTCTAGATTCCTTATCACACAGCTGTATTTCTTCAGGAGTTGCAGCAGTTGAAAGTAGAATAGCTGAGGAAACATCAGATTGGACTTGTCTTCTCTGCTTAGCCTAAGTACACTGGTTTTCTTATCTACAGTGCTGTTTGCAGTTGCACAAGCTCACTAGCCTGTAGTGCCAGAAAATAGCATCAGCATAACCTCCACTGGAGCAGAGGAGAACACCTCCAGTTTGGAAAACGTTAGGGCAGCTGGAAATACTGAAAAAGTAGGTTGTCACACACAAGATCTGGGAGAAAAATACACAGGTAGAGAGAAGTCATAGCTTTCTCAGCCTATGATAGCTCTTAGTGCTTAATTGCATACAGTATTGAGCATCTAGGGCATACTTAAAAAGAACAATCAGTGTTAAGGTAATAACTTCATATTTTGTTTTCTTCCTACCATTTTTCTTTGTTTTCTTTAGGATCGTGGTTTCCTCTAGTGGAAAGGGCTATCATCATATCATTACTGTTCGTAGTTATTATTTTGTGTTCAGCTCAGTTCGGTTTTACTGGTAAGTATTGACTCTTTAATTCTTTACAGTTATTGATTTGTCCTGAAATCACTTGCATGCATAAAGGCATCTGTGTAAAATGAATTATGGTGCTTACATCTAAAAGATCTGTGGCAGAATCGATCCAGGTAATACGCAGAGGTGTTGTGTGCAGCCTGAAGAGTCTGTGCTTGGAGCTAGTCTGCCATGTGGTGATGTTTCTGCTGCCAATACTGTTTCACATGATGTGCTTTTTTGCATGTGTGTAATTTCTGTGGGGTATAATTGGTAATGTCTACTGTCATGGGTTAGAGCAAGAAAGCTTTTTTCGCTGTTGGCTCACCATGACGTTATTGAATAACAAAAATATTTCGTTTTATGGTCATAACATCAATATCAGAGAAGGAGGGTGCTCTCTTCTTAATGTAAGCTTGTTCATTAGTCTTAGCACTGGCTGAGTTACAATTTAACAGTGACACCAATGATTTTGTTTTACGTTTTTTAGGCAATATATTCCATTCCCCAGTGTCAGACATCCTAAGATGCTCTTTATACACTGGTGTCCAGCACCTGTGTGATGCAGAGTGAGCATTACCTCCTGGTCTTTCAGACAGTTCCCTGTGCTGCAGTTCATTCCATCAATATTTGATGTTTTTCAGCCTTTTTCAATTTGTAGAATTCTAAAAAGTAAAAATAAAAAAATGCTGCTTAGAGTTGAGTTCATAAGAAATGGAAAAAATAGTGATTTGTAGCAATCATAAACATATTCAGCCATTTATGTATTATTTCCTTTATAGTCTTTTCATTGAGCCCTGGAAGTGGTATGTGACTCATCAAAGGTTCATCCATGGTCAGAGGCTGAAAACCAATGCATATTTTTTATTTATTATTTTATTTCCCTAGTGTTAGATTCCTGATTTTCATTGTTGCTTATAATGGTTTAGGAGTCTCTGATATGTTCAAAAATTGCCGTTGCCTTGCATTCCTAGCAGAAGTTCAGCATTTTTAGGAAAGCAGTCATTTCATGGAGAAGCGCGGTCATTTTGTAGGAGTTACTCAAATTATTTGAGTGCACTTGGGCAATTTATTGAAAGGTCTTTGATCTCTGGTGGGAAAAGAGTTGTGCTACCTTTAATCAAATAAATGTGGGTATCCTTACTGTCTGGTTTTGTCGGGATTTTTTTTGTTGTTTGTTTTGTGGGGTTTTTGCTTTAGTTTGCAGTCTTTTAGATAACCTGTGAGTCCATCAGGACTACTATATACCTTTAAGTAACCTCTTAAATTGGACTTGATTTTTTTTCTGTGTAATGCTCGGAAATCTTATGTTTTCTTGGTTTTGTGGGTTGTGTTGGTTTGTTTGAGGAGAGGTTTTTTTGTTTACGGGATTGGCTTTTAGGATTTAAGTATAGAGTATCCATTACTTATTTTTGCTTTTGTGTCTTGCTGTCTTTATTTAGCATGTTTATAATGTGGAAAAATGTGAGCATCCAGTACGGATATGCAGGAAGTTTTTACTGGCACTGCTCTGGGAACCTGTTGTGTTAGGCAAAGTGGATATGTTGAAAGAAAGTTTTAATTACAAGAGAGAGTATTCTGTAACCCTTCTGTAGATAAGATACTGTTAAAGACTTTGTCATATGTGCCCTCTAGAATATTTACTGTAAACTTGTGATACTCTGTTTTGTGCCAACTCAGTACATGGAAGCAGGATGTTAATTCTATATGTGTAGGACATCCCATATTTACTCATCCTCCATTCTGGGGAATATCTCTCTGTGCCTCTGAGGACAGAGGTGATAAGTCTGAGGTCACACAGCGTCACGGGGAAAAGTATGAAACCTGGAATTTCTGAATCTCTGTCTGACACTCACCTGAGTAACAAATCCACTCTAACATTTAATGTCAGTAGTGCATCTGCCTGAATTAACCTGTTCTGTGTCCCAAAGTTATTGTGGTAACATATCACCTGAATTGTGTGGAAGGAGAAATTAAGAATTTGACTAGAACAGCAATGCCAGGTTTCATTTATCTGAGTAAGTGTCGTTAACCATATCAAACAAAGAAAACAGATTAAATCTTGTGAATGTATATCATTTTATTATGTAGTCTTAATCATAAATCTGTGTATTTTAGTGAGAGAATCTATGTGTCTGATTGTTTTCCTCTCTCTCTTTTTGCCTTTAAGCATTAAAATATGAAATTGAATCTCAGAGGAAAGTGTGCATTATTGTAGCAAGTATCATCTTAATAGTTGCTGCTGGTGTAGGCACTTTTCTTTTTCTCCAAGGTAAGTGGTTAAAATTGCTTTCTTAATTCAAGGGAATAAGAGCACAAAAAAATCTCTTCCATGCTCTGGTATGGAAGGTAGTACCACCTGTTTATTGCCATCTATTAATTTTGTAAACGAAAAATGATACGGAATACAATAGAAACAACATTGTGGTTTTCAGGCCCTCAGGTGATCATAGGAAGGTACAGACTCCAAACTTACTTATATTTCTATCCTATAGCCTCAGGTGAATATCAGGGACCTAGAGAGTGACTTCTGGTGCTTCGGTGAGACTTTTTATGAGCCCTAGAAACTTGACGATGCTAATGATTTATGCTCGTTGCTTTGTGCTTTATTCCAATTTCTGTTCTACTGATTTCCATATAAATGTTTGCAGTTGGCTATACTGCACAGAATCAAGCTGGTCTTGGCCTCATTGTTGTCCCTGCTGTGATTCTCGTACCACTTCAGTACTTTGTGTTTGGAATTGGTGAGTATTTGTTTATTCACTAGCTCAATACCATACGGGTAGAAAAGTATTGAACTCCCTTCCATCATCTACAGACCATTTTCACTTTTATAAGTAGGTCCTCCAGTAGCATCCTGGGTTCCTGACGTTTCTAGGATCTCGGAGCAAAACGTTTAACCTGTGTTTGTTTGGCCGAGTTACTTCAGGAAAGAAGCACAATTTACCCCCTTGAATAATGAAACTTAGGGTAGCACATCTGAGTGGTTTCTGCTCTTCCTTCCTGGGTGTAGGGGCTGGATTGAATAACTACCTCTCAGAATATGTGTTCCATTTTTTCCTACTTGTTTCTTTATTTATATATACATTATTTTTATGTGTCTGTATTCACACAAGAACCCTGATTTACAGTGACTTGTGAGTTTTGTTATCACACCGACTGACTGAGCTTGGGATTTGGGAGAAACTGATTTCTGGCTTTATGTGACTGCTCTACTCTTTGCATCTCTGTAGTTAAACTTCTAAAATGAGAATTTTGTTTCTCTTTTCCCCAGTTTTTGACAGCCTACCGCAAGCAACGTGTGCTCTGATAGGTTTGACAATTCTTGGGTATATAATTGCCGTGGTTGGTTTTGCACTGTGTGTCCCAGGTAAGCAATTTGTCTTCTATGAAAGTGGCTTTTTTGCTCTTGTCTGCATGTGATGTTTATTTCTGACACTAAAATGCTGTGAAAATGTCTTCATTACATAGAGTGTTAGCAAGTAACTTCTGCAAGTGTAGTTTAGGACTAGTGTGTTAATGCTCTTTTATCTGGTGAAAGAAGAATAGCCCAAAAGTAGTATTACATGTATCAGTTTCATTGCTATGGCTCTATCCAACATTGTATGAGCAGTTGCTTTAAAAAAAAAAAAGAAAAAAATTGTTTTAATTTTGGACATTAGTGTCTTAAAGGTCAGTGTTGGTTTTGGGTGACTCTGTATTATTGCTATTCTTACCAAGGCTTAGAGTGTTTAGAAACTAAACTAGAGTCATAATGATTTTCTCATGTTCAATGAGTAAATCAGAAATTCCTTGCTAATCTCTGTTTGTGTGTAACTGAGTCCATGAGTATTTCAGTAAATACCACTGAAGCAGATTAGAAAGGTACATGTAGAGACAATAAACTTGGAAGTGTTCTTGGGCTGTTTTGAGGTTGTGGCTGGTGTTCTGTTTCATCACTGGAAAACAGTCATGGTGGCAAAGGAACACCAACTAAACACTGGACACCATGATACCCTTATCCCTGCTCCTAACCCTCTTGGTGCCCTCCCTGCCTTCCCCTCTGTCCACCAGGGAGTGACTGTAGGACTAGGCATCCTTGGCAGTATATTTAGTAGGAGAATAAATAGTTGTGTTCTTTGTAGACACTTTATTCTCTTGATTTTATTGTTTCCTAGAGACATTCTTCATAGTGATTATTTGATTTGGGATTTAAGATCTATTACTCCTTGAAATGATTTTTGAAGGTTTGCCTAATCTGGGTGAAATGATAGACCTTTCAGTGGAGTTGTGATTTGAGTTTTGTGCTTATTGTTCGTATTTACAGAAGTATTTGTAATGTACACCTAAGTGTTGTCAGGTGTAATAGTGAAATAAACTAATGGGAGATTTCCAGTAAAGCATTAATCCTCTAGAGCCATGCACAATGGTAGATTTTTTTATTATGCTCTCAAATGGAAAGTCTACTTAGTTTTTCAGGGTGACTTTTTCCCAGGTCATACATGGTACATGTTAACCTGGATCCTGGAAACAAGGATCACAGAGAACAGGGAGTTTTAGTAGTGCATATGATTAGGTTGTAATAGCCTCTTCCTGCTTTGATGTCCCTTCAGGCATGGAGCATCCCTGTTATTGGTGGGTTTGCCTCAGAACTACCCACATATTGTGAACCCTTCTTCCCTTTTTGATCCTGTTTGATCAGTAATAGTATGGATATTCTGTAATCTGATGCAATTACAGCTCAAAACAGTTGGGATTGAAGATGTAAAGTTTAAAATTAAAATACAGTTAAAGGAAGAATGTTGTCAGTTGCAGTGAAAGGCAGTAGAAGAATACAGCTAAGCAGGATAAATCAGTAAATGTCACTATATCACTAAGGAATGAAGAAGTAGTTCCGGGATATCTTTGAAAGAGATTAATCACATCTGTTTCTCTCGGGCTTATTTATATTAGTCATCAGTTATATCTGAAAATAAAAGTCTGTGCTTTTACTTGTCACATGATGCAGTTTCTTTTGCTGTGTTTTTAACAGCCTGTCCTCCATTACATGGGTCTGTTCTGGTTGCTGGATTAGCTATTATGGCTATTGCAAGTTTGCTTAGTCTGGCTTTCGTGTTTATTATGGGTAAGTAACACTGACATTCTGCATTATTTTTATTTTTAAGTAGACAGTGTGTGTGAGGTTTGATTTCACAATTAGAGAATTTTAAAAATTACTGACAAGTTGTCTGTGTATTCATAGATCTTTGTTTTATAGAGCCTGTGGGGAATCTTGAGTAAAGAAATTGACAGTTTATCATCATAAACTGTTTGAGGTCAGCACAGCCATGTTTATTAAGGAAGAGTGTTTCAGTTGTAGGACTGCTGCTGTTTAGTTCTGCATTTACACACTTGGCTAGTTGAAGCTTAGAATGAAGCGAGCAGAAGGATGTCAGGGATTCTGTGGAGTGAGTTGTGGGATGGTGGTGACAAAATCTTATCAAAACACGGATTTAAAGAAGCAAAATCTGCCTTCTGATTTGCATTGGATAGAGGTGGGTTAAAATAAGAGCAATTTAAATGTACATCTTTCATTTTAGTGAATCCTGGTTTATCCTACAGTGAATTATAAAACCCAGGAACAAAGAATAGCAAGGCTTTGTTTCAGAAACTGATCTGTGCATCAGATCTCAGCAAGATGAGAGATGTAAAGATACGGTACATAAGCAAAAGACATAGCAGTGGTGTGCCTGGAGTGCTGGCACACCACAGTGTAACATTATGTGGACTTCAAGCTTGGGTCAGAGAGCAGAGTGACATTATTTGTTTGAAGGCTCTTCAAACAGGTTGTTAGCTTGGATGCAGAACTGTGCAGTTGAGAATGTATTGCTTTCAGACTCAAGCTGGTATGTGGACAGTCAGTGCAGTCACTAGTCTGCACTGAGCCTTGCAGCCTTCTAGGTTCATTGTGTGCACATCCTGTGTGGGCATGGTCAGAAATAACAGACCTTGAGACAGAGAGGGTTTCCAGTAAAGAAGAAATTAAGGCAGAATGCCTAATTTTTGACAGCCAAGAGAGATGAAGATGAGTCAAAAAATGTGACAGGGGTGAAGCAAAGCCTTTTAATAACAGTGAAAGTAGTTTTCTATTGACTTTGGTCTACCTGTATATACAACTCCAGTGCTGTTGGTCTGCATAAGTACTGTATTTGTGGCTTGTTTATGCTGTGGCTGAGGAAGTCACATGAGATGTTGGGGTAGATTGTAGCACACTAAAATAAGCACAGTGCATAGTGTGTAGTGTAATTCCTTTTTAGAGCTGAGTGCATGACTGAGACAATTCACAGGCTGTACGTGATAAGATTATTCGGTTCCTAAATAGAGGGATGCTTAGAGACTTTAGGAATTTGCAGTTCACCCTATTCAGTAATTTTGGATAGGGGAAGCATCAATTTTGTGTGTTGCTGCTCTCTTGCCAGTTTTATCAGCAGATTATGCCTTTTCCCAGGTAATGTGACAGGAGGAGAGGAAATGGCCTCAAGTTGTGCCAGGGAAGGTTTATATAGGGTATTAGGAAAAAAAGTCTTTGTTGTAAAGGGTGGTCAAGCATTGGAACAGGCTCTCCAGGGACATGGGGGAATCACCATTACTGGAAGTGTTCAAAAAAAATCTAGTTAGAACACCTGGGGACATGGTTTAGTGGTGAAGGTAGCAGTGTTAGGTTATGGTTGGGCTCGATGATCTTGGGAGTGTCTTCCAACCTTAGCAATTCTATGATTCTGTGTTATTATTTGGTTGATAATGACATTGATTCATCTGCCTGGTCACTTTTTTTTTTTTTAACTGTTTTAGGTTCCAGAATGAAAGATCATCCTCGTCCAGGGGTAAGCTTAAAATTAATAAATTTGGGGTGACTAGATGGCTCAGGGGATTGTAGTGAGATACTGAACCTTTCTTCACTAGTTCGAATTCAGACAAGGTTGGTAGCAAGCAAAAGTTCTGGCTGTGTAACAGATGTCTAATGTTGAGTGAGTTGGTGGTCTTCATTGTCCCTATTGAGTGTGTCTGTGGTACTGTAATTGCCACCCTTGCCTAGTGGCTACTCCGACTGTTGTGCCCAAATGGAGTTTCCATTGCTGTCAGGGAAAGGTGGTGGATATCAAGGGAAGTTTGATGTTCCTTTACAAAGCATCCTTTCATCTCAGTTTATGAAGACCTTTTACTCACCTTATTGAAAAGCTTTTTCATTAAGATGAGTGCAAAACATATTGAATTTTTTCATCTAGGTGGTGGTGTGTAAAAAAGACTTAGGTTTGGGTTTTTTCCTATGGTCTTTTACACCAAATCCCTTTAATAGTCTCTTTAATTCCTGGCTATGCAGGTACTATAACCTTGGCCTTTTTTCTGATTTTCCTGTGGTGCCCCTTAATTGGATGAGACCTTCTGAAAACAACGTGTCTGTCTTTAGATAACACAGAACAAATAGAAAAACACTTTGGTTTTTGTTAAGAAGTTTTTCCAGTCAGTTACCTTGAATTCTAGAGTAATCCAAATTCCCCAAGCCAGTAATTTTCATGAGTTTATGCAGTGCTTTTGAGTGATGGTGAATGTGAACTGCCTGATTCCTGGCGTTTCCCAGAAGCAAGTAAAGAGAGACAACTATAAAACACCAGTAAAACTTCCTCGTGGGAGGGGAACACGGCAAATACTGACTCATCCCATGCCTTGGGTGGTAGCTCTCACTGGAGACACATTTCCAGGTCTCCTGCCTGAGACCCAGATGTGGAAGAAAGATGGTTTCTAATAGTGGGGCAGGAGAGGTGACCACAGTTAGGATGAGAGATTAATATTTTTATTTCCTTTGCTTTTTCTTATCCATTTTCATTTTAAGGAGTAGTATTTCAGAGGATTGGCCTCTCCCTATGGAAAGAATATAAGTGCACAGAGTTTAAAAAAGAAAAAGGACAAAAAGAGGTTCAGAAAGTTAATTATGTTATAAAAATGAGCTGAGAAGTGTATTACAGATATGCTGCATTCAAAATGCAGTCTTGCTTGTTTCTAACATCCCCATGTTTACTGGCAAAATGGGGGTAAACAGACCAAGAGGAAATGTTTTTTCTGAGCTTAGTTTTGGTTATAAACAAACTTAAAAATAGAAACTAACCTGCAAAATAAGGTCCTTTGTGAAACTCTGTTCTCTTTGTGAGCTGTTCTCCTCACAAGGTGGTTTCACATGGCAGCAAGGACTGGAGGAATAGAGAAATAGCCACAGTCACATAGTAGTGAGCATCATATTCCTTTTTGAATCGGAGATAGGAATGAAATCGAAAGAATTTTTGAAAACTTGGTGGTCACTGGAAACCTCACCCAGTACAAATATGTATTTTGCTGGTGCTGTTAGTAGAGGGTTAGGTACAGAGGAATTCTGGTGATGTAATTTGTGTCCATGAACTTTGGGCATTACAGAAAGGCCCAGTGGGAGTTGACGTGTGATAATATGTTGCATGTTTCCATCAAGGGCTCTTCAGCATATATTGCTGTGCTTGGAAGCAGTAAACAAGTGTGAAGTAATTTCCAAAATGTGCTTTGATTCTGTGTAATCTAAAGACTATGGAAACCTTAATATCAGTGAAGGACTTCGTTTTGGCACTGGGGCACGCTTACAAAATGATTCCTGAGATTTTCTTGAATCAGAGGGGGAAAAGGTGTTTATTCTGAAATCTGCCATCTTAACCAAGTACTGGTTCTTTTAGCTTTTCTGTAGATTGCTTGTGTTGTTTCTGATAATTTGTCTACGGGATTAAGTGCACAACTGTCGTGTATTTCTTTTTGAGGAGTTTCCACTTGATTGCTTGGCTACTCTTTTTATTTGATTTTTTTTTTAGTCCTGCTGCTTTGTTACTAACCATTGATTGACCAAATCGCTGAGACAATCAGTTAGGTCTTAGAGCTTACGAGTAGTGTCTGCATGTCTTTTGCTGCCACCTAGAGGTGTTTCGTCTGGGGAGACATCACAGAAAGTAACCTGGAGAATGCAGTTGTTGATGGATTCAGAGCTTTAGTCACTGATCTGATTAACGTTAAGCTTTCTTCGTTTTTGTAGAATCACTACTTACTGTATATGTCAATTAGAGTAATTTAACTGTGGCGAGCCAAAAGTAAACATGAAGGCTTTTTATACATATATATATTTTTAAATGTTTTGCAGAAAGCTGTAGAAGAACCACTAAATGGTAGGTGATATTCAAGGCTTATCTTCTAATACAGGTATTAATTATGGAAGAAGGTCAAAAAGTAGTTGTAGTTGCCAGTACAAGACCACTGAGATGGCAGATCAGTAGCCAATTTATGTGGCTCTTGTGAGTCAGTAAGAGTTTGGTCTTGTAATGAAATTATGCCTGCAGCTCCAACTCTCTGTTTTATGCTGCTGTGCTTTCTGGCCAGAGGCATTGTTTGACCATTTTAGGACAAATCTGATATCTCAGGACATTATATCCACAGTCTTTGCTTTGCAAAATGTCCAGCTTTTAAGAGAAAAAGAGGGACGGGTCTTGGAAGTTGATGTTAACTCTTCATAAACATTTGTTTAGGTGAAAGAATTCTAGCAAAATCTATCCTTGCCACTCTCTTATTTTCGTATTTCTTTGGGTTGGGGAAACTACCATGGCTTTGAGAAACTGGTAGCACTTAAGATGAGGGAAATCTACTGTGAGAAAAGGATGTCTCTCAAATTCTTTGTTTTTGCTGTTTTGTTCACTAATTGGCATGCTGAGTAGTAGTTCTAGCCTGAATCTTAGACTGAATCTTAATACTAATTATGAAGGATTTCTTGCTGTTTCACTCATTACTAATCCATTTTCTTGGCTTTTAAAAGATGCAAAAGGAATGATGTTAGAATGATGGTAAGTCCAAATAATGGATCTCTGGATATCTGTTATAAGTAGCATGTATTTGGGAGTTTTGATGTTTGGAGTTGCCCAGTGCTAATATGGTGAAACTTGGTTTTGGGGCAGGTGCTGTTCTTGCTCAAATTATACTTAAGTGAAGAGAAAGAATACATGTGTTCCATGTCATACGTGGGGAAGAATGTGCATGAGTCAGTGGGAAAACTGTTCAATAGTCTATTTCTGATCAAATGTGGAAAGTCAAATTAGTTGTGTCCTTCCTTTATGCCTGTGTGGTCTTTAAGATGCATGGACTGTTTCCTTGGTGGTGGGTTGTTCTGTTTGGGGTTTTGTGGGGCTTTATTGTTGTTGTTAATGTAACTGAGCCTTCTCCATGCATTTAATTGGTGATCTCCCCTGGAAGTTCACAGGAAAGTGGTTTAAGAGTAGCTTTCTCTCCCCCTCTTTAGATGCTACTTGAATTCTGTGGGTTTTGTTAGTTTGTATTCCAATCAGATTTCCCTCAGTTTATTATTTTTCAGTTTGCTCTCATTGAAGAGCTTAAACTTTAGGTTAGATGCTAAGGTTTGACAATGAAAACAGTTGCATGGATTGTTTTCTGTTCAGAAGCTGTACTTCCTTTCCTGTGGAATAGGATATGGTGCTATTGGTACTTAGGTTTATTTTTGGATACTGAGCAAGCTTATCAGGAGGTATCACTAGACCCTCAGCCCAGTACTCCTGTATTAAATCACAACATTTTGCTACTCAGTATAAAGAGTAAGGTCACTAAATCTGTTAGTTTACTGGAGACATTTTTGTATCATGACACTTCTCAGAGCTGTAAATGACAATGTGACAGTAAATGAGGCACTAGTTAGCTGTAACTGAAGAAAGGTCTGTGAATTTTTAAAACAGGTTTCCTTACAGGTGCCAAGTACTGCTGGGTTTGTTACTTATGGCTACTACATGGTTCACCCACAGAAATACAAGCACTTCTGCAATACAAAGTACAACTGCATTGATGTCTCATAATGCATTGACAAACATGTGCCAGTTAGTACAGTCTGAGTGAGGAGCAGTGGAAGGGAGGTCCTGCTTCGGAACTGGCCACTGCTCATTCCTCAGGGAGTTGTGTGAGATCAGGAAAGAGATAGATACTTGCCAGTCTGTGGAAGGGAGGTAAGGATGGGATCGCTACAGTTACCACATGCTGCTGAAAAACAAAGATGTTTTGCTTGGAGATCCAATTTTAAATAAGCTGTTTCCTCTTTGGTCTCCTTTGGGCTTATGAAAACCACCTCCTCTTCTAGTGCTAAGGTAGAGCTTCCACAAGCACAGAAATTGCCAATTACCCATTTAATTTTTGACTCCTAGGGTAAGGCTAGAAGTCTGCCAGCTGCTTCTGCCCTGAAAGATGGCTCCTAAAAATTAACAGGAGGTTTCACAGACTGAAGGCAAGTGCCCTGACTCACTAGCTGGAGGCAGTAACCTTTTGAGCTCTACCTGCTTTCTATCCTAACCTTCCCTTAGAAGTACACACAGAGAGTGAAGGAGGGATGAGTCAGGTGCTCAGCATTAGGAATAAAGACAAGGTGGGTCAGACAGCTAAGTCTGGGAGCCACTTCAGCTTGTTCCAGTTCATGACTGGGAGCTCCAAGACAGTGTCCACTTTTACGTTGTGGAGAGGCTGAAACATCACTTGCTGTTAGTAACACCCTTTTCCACTATCCGAATGCAAAGTTTGAAATGAAAGCACAGTTTTTGAAGTTGTAACTTGTGTAGGCAGCACAAAAACGTTGCCGTTCTTCCCAAACAATCCACTGTCTTTCTTTTTTAACTCTCCAGATCTGCAAAGCTATGTGATGCGTGAATAAAGTACACCGTTGTTGATACACCGTGGCCTTGAAGATGCACTACTCAATGAGAAGAAATTCAGGAAACTAGTTGTTTTGCATGTGTGGCAAAAGTGCTTTTGATATAAATTATGTAATTTTATAGTCACAGCAGCTGTAGCAAGGAACATGTGTGTTTGCCCACATGGGATCTTAATTTTCTTTCGTTATGGTGTATATGGGATGGTTGAGGGTGAGAATATAAAGAGCACTGTTTGCCCACGACAGGGTCTCCCTGCAATCCTTAGTGGTGTTATTTTCAAAAACTGTCATTAGTCACTGCTTTGGTAATGGGCCTTGCTCAGCCCGGAGGTTGCAATACCATTTAGACTATTGTTTTCTTTATTTGTGTGCATGGACGAAGTATGGTCTATGTGTATGATACAAACAGGAAGTAGAGATTGTACAAATACATCTTTTCTGACATTCAGCAAAACTTTTATTTTAAAAAAAAGTTATACACAAAGTTGCATAACTGCAAAGTTTACTCCCAGTTCTCCTTTAGTTATTAACAGAGGTCTAATTCCACACAACATTAGTATTCCTTTCTGTGGACAGTAGTCATGTATGCTGTGGTGGCTGATATTTTGTCCAGTGCAAGAGCTCTCCGTGCCTCCTCCGTGTTCTTTGATGAGAAGCTGCTCAGCTGTCGGAGCCTAATTCAGCACTGGAATTACAGAGCACAGCAGCCAGTAATTTTCATGCTGAATGTGGTTCTTGTGTGTGTGTTCATGTCGTGCAGTGTTGGTACTGGAAGCAATTTCAGGCTTTTTTAACTCAGTGAATTTGTAAAAGTCATGGATGATTCATAAAAATAGGAGTTGTCCTATTTAGTGTATTTTTGACAGAAGTTTTACAATCTGTTTTCTTGACCGGAAAAAAAAATGGAGCTCTGTAATTTCTGACCCAAGTTTGTGTTGCTGCTGTTATACGACAAATACATAAAATAGAAAGTAAGTGGGAGGAGCTGGTGAGCAAGGAGGAAGCTCAGTTTCAGTGTATTTGTCAGTGGTACAGTTAAAAATCAGTTTTCTGGGACTTGGACATTCCATGAGGTTTCACCACAATTTACAGCTGTTTTGAGAGTTGTTCCAATATAGCTGGCTCTTCTCGGACTTCGTGTAGACTTTGTAGAAACCTTGACACTGTCTCCTGTTTGTACTAAGGTATTGTATTTCAAAGGCACACATGGTTTTCTCCTTCTAACAATTTAAAACTTGTTGCCAAACAGTAGTGTAATAAAATCCGTGTTTTGAAAGGTTCTGAGCAATTTGGCACTTCTTAGAGTTGAATGTTCCAAACAAAGGTTCATATCCAAGCTGCGGGTGCACGTGGCAGAGATTCGGGTCTCAGAACATTGAGCTCCAAGTCTCAATGCAGAGATTTGCATCAGGATTCAGCAGGGTAAAACAGAGATCTCTGATTTTACGATAGGTACTGCCGTCAACATTCCTCTTTCTAAGGCTGCAGGGTTGAACCATCTAAAGCATCCCACAGTCCAGCCCTCACTGGGGTCAGTGGAACTGGCCACAGAGCAGGGAGTCATTAAGTACCTTGCAGAGCTCCCTGTTTTATCACTAGTGATTCCCTCTGGCGAGCTCAGAGTCTAGCAGCTGAGGAGTGAAACAACCAAATGAACTGAAATTCTGTTGAGGTAATTCTGCCTTATAAAAACTTAATGTATTATAGCTTTATGTTACCTTCTGTGAAGCAAACTGGAGCAGGACCCGTTGGTGTCACCATGGCATCAGGCCAAGCTGATCCCAGGCATTGCCAAAACACAAGGAGCTCAGTGTGGCCCTGGATGGGCTGCAGAACCAGTTGCCCCAGAAATGGGAAAAACCCACCATCCCATTGTGTTAAGGGCTGGATTTCTTACAGGAGCAAATTGAAACGTGAGAGTTTAAAAAGTCATTGTTACACCCAGCCCTTTCTCACCAGTAATTTAAAACCAAAGTTGTTCATAATTGTATGCTTTTGTTTGTGTGTGTACAAATATATATACATTTTAAATATCTATAGATCTATAGTCTTTACCCAAGAAAATGTTTTTATTTATGAAACATGAAATGATTTTGTAAATATTGTGCTAATATACTTAAAAAAAATAAAGTCATTTCAAGTTGTTTTTGTGGGAGGTTTTCTTGTTGCTAGCACATTGAACTTCTGTGGCTGCTTCTGCAGTCACAGCTGCTCTTCTCCCTGCCTTGGTGTATTACTGGATATACAGGAATGTTCTCAGTGTTACATAGGATGCTGCAGGTGGGTTTGGTTTGGTTTCACCTTGAAAAGTTCATCCACTTGATGAAGCAAGTGTGTAGATTGCCATGTAATAACTTCAGTTGTGCTGGTCAACATCAGATGTTGTCATGAGAAGGTGCTGTGGGAGGAAGGACGAGCTGAGGAGGAACAAGGTGCTGGTGTGACTAAAAGCACAGCAGAGCGGTGCGTATTTCTTGTGTTACTGCTCAGGCACTGCTGCGTCAGTTCTGGATTTTCTGAAGTTGTTTGTGATGTTGGTTTGACAGTGGAGAAAGGGCCTCAAGTCCTGTCTGGTGGTCTTTCTGCTCACACATCTCAGCTTTGGTGGAGCTGAGCTGATGGGAACAGTTAAAATTGTTAGCAGTTCACTGCTTGTTCAAGGTGACTTGAGCCTTGGCTGTTGAACTTCCTTCAAGATCTCTTCATTTTGTCACTTTCCTACGCACGCATTTCCCTCTCTGAAGGAGCCACAAACCACAGTTTGAGCTATGAAATTTAAAAGTTTTAGAATTCTGTGCGGGGACCTAACTACAGGGTGAACCGTAAGCTTGGAGTGACCCTGCTCCTAAAGCTCAGGAAACTGCGTGCTTGAAGTTTGGTGTGTGAAAAATGGTGCTAATCTGCATGTGTGTGGTTGGAGAGTACCTAATTCCTGTAATTCAGACTGCTCCAGTCAGTTAAACCAGGACAACCAACCCAACCCAAACCTGAACTGTCCAGTCCAAGAGCTTTTGGGCAGAGCTTCAGTGCTTTGTCAGAGCTCTGTAACTGAATGGTACCTGCCTCATAGTAGCAGTGGCATCCTCTAGTGCATCCCAATTCAGAGAAGGATTTATATTTCTTCTCCTAGGGTAAATAATTCTTTTGTGCTTGGTGCTTTCTGCCACAGATACAGCCAGTGCCATCTTGGCCTTAAGTACATAAAATCATAGAATCAACCAGGTTGGAAGAGACCTCAAAGATCATCGACTCCAACCCTACCGTGGTTACTAGACCATGGCACTAAGTGCCACATCCAGTCTCGTCTTGAAAACCTACATCTTACATCCTGTATCCTTGAGGACTCTTTGAAAGGTTTCATGATGAAAAAGTGCATGAACCAAACTGTCTTGTTTCCTTGTTGGTTGCCTACTATTCCTGCTACAGAATTCTGGGAATAGTACAGCATTGCCTGGTAGGTGTGTCTCAAAGCCTGCACAAGGTACCTGCACCAGTGTTTCAGCTTCCTTTCCTGCCATTGTGTAAGGGTAAGGAGGGGTCATAAAGTACAAGAAAAGGGCAGAAATGGGGTTTTTTCAGTGAAATGAATTGAGAAGAAACTTTAGTACATGAATGTAAATAGCACAAGGATCATCTGGTAGGGAGGAGGAAAACTGCAGTGTTGAAACAAGTTTTGGTTTCCTCTTGTTCCTTTGCATGTTTTTACAGACTATGGAAAGGCTTTTGAAATTACTGGGCTGGAGAGTGGGTGCAATGAAGGGAAGAGAGTCTGCCATGAATACACATTTGGTGGGAGAAGTATTTTGAAGAGCATAAGAACTGCAGATCTGCTGGGAAGAGTGTGAACAATTTCTCCTAACTCATCTCTAGCAGTTGTACTTTCGGACCCTTGAGGAGCTGTGGGACTACACAGTGCTGATGTCTGTGTGTGACCAGCCAGCTGACCATGGAGAGGTCCTTGGGGTCGTGCAGTTGTCACACAAAGTCAGCCTGCTACCTCCACACCTCACTGATGGCCTCTGGGCAGAGTAATTGCCTAGTGCAGAGTGAGGTCTGGCACACCTTCAGCTGCAATTGAAGAACTCAATTTTACTGTCATTCACAATTTATGTACCTGCAGATAATGGCAGATTTGGAAACTGATTGCTCTAGCTAGGTAGTCTGTCCCATGTCTTCTCCTCCCTTGTAAGATTTCACAATAGCTGTGTACAAGTTAAATTTGGAACGATTACCAGATCTGAGATAACTGAAGGATGACAACATTTTTCTGAACTTGTACCTTAGGGTTGGCTTGAGGGTAGTTGTATTTGGTTGCATTAATTTGACTTTCCTTTTTTTCTTCTATAAGTGCTGCAGGAATTGCTTTCAGAGCAAGAACATTTAGTAGTATTTTGGGTGTTTGGGGTTTTTCTTTTTTGCTCTGTAAGAAAGCAGTATTCTTTAATAAATTAGATATAGGGGAAGGAGAAAAGCAACAAACCAGCAGAAATTCACTCTGCTGTTGACCAGAAGGTCCATCCAAGGACAAACAATGGTCATCGAGACAAGTAAGGAGAAATGGGATCTTCAAGGTCTACTCATTGTAATTAATTTCATTTAAGTTTAAGCATAGCCAATTATGATAGTTTAGCTGAAGCAGAAGGTCATTTAGGATTCTCTGACATTGCTTACTAGCTCAACTCCATGAAAAAGAGAAAATTCACCCTATTAAAGATGAAGTGGAAGTAAAGGCACTGTGTGCAGAGCTCTGCAGGTGTGGGGAGTTGGCCTGGGTAGAACTTGGAAGCTGTGATTTACCCACGTCAAGAAACACTGAGAATTTAAGGATCATAATAAAATGATATAATTAAAGGAGCCCAGCATGGAAATAGATTCCTCTGTACCCTGCACTGCAATTATAAACCAGTGAGGTTTTGGAAACACAATCCGTCTGTAGCTGGAGGTACAGCTAAGATTGAAAATGCTGCACCAAGTCTGTCAGGCCTTGACACCAGAGAGGCAGTTCCTTTTTCTAGGCAGTTTGTGAAGTTTTGGCTGGAACAGGTAAACAGGTGCTACTGTGGGAACCTAAAATGTCCTCCTAAAATGTCCTCCCTTTCCTGGTATGTAGATAGGAAAAAACAAGTTATTTTCTGATAAACTGAGCAAACTGAAGATATCAATATTGTAAAAAAAATTGTGGATGAAGGTGGTGGTGAGAAGGAGGGCAATTGCTTTTTATTTGCAGTACCCCTTACCTGCCATTTCCTCTGATACTGCAGTGGCTGGAGAGCATCATCACAGCAGAAGATGGGGCAGGGGCCACAGCCTTTGCTGCCTTCCCCCTCCTGGTTTGACCCCCTGGTGCCTCCCCCACAGCTTCGACTGCAGCAGCATGGCCTGTCCTCCCTCAGGCTGTGAGGGAGAGGTGGACACACAGCTCATCATCTCCTGCCTGA